TCCCACTCTCCATCTTCCTCTTCATTCCAGTCATCAGGTTGGATGACATTTGGATCAGGAACATACTCTGGCTCGTCATCCAACCAGTCTTCAGGTTTCTGGCAAAAAAAAAAAGAAAAAAATATTAAATTTAAACAAATTTTTAACATATCGCACCATTCAACAATTCCCTTAAGGGTACCGTAAAAGACAGTTTAGTTAGGGGATTGAATTCAGCAAACCTTTGCATTAGGGTCAGGAATTTTAGCAGGAGCGTCCTCATCCCAGTCTTCAGGCTTCTCTGCATCAGGGTCGGGAATCTTTTCTCTCTCATCCCAGCCCTCTGGTTTTTCATCATGTGGGTCATCAATCTCCTTAGGGGGGTTGACAGCCGGAGTGAAATCTTCCAACAGGTTGCCCGAATTGACACTCTCTTGGTCCACAAATACCTCAAATGAATTATCAGGTCTGACTACCAAACTGAATAAATGAGTCTTTTTTCCATCAAATACACTCTGGAAATTGCCAATTGGCTTCTTTGCATGTTTCTCCTCGTATTCACCGGTCTTTGGGTTCTTGTGTCTAAAAATGAAGTGAAGCTAAAACGAAAATAAAAACAGTTTGTTGATGATGTGAGAAACAAGAACAATAATATCCTTCACACAAGCAAGATGTTCAGTCAACACTGAATGACAAAAACCATTGATAGGCAGTGACAAACGTTTTCCCTTGCCCACTCAGGCAAATGAGTCTTTATGCCTTTGGGCAGAGTACAAAATTAATGTTATAATAATGTTTTTTGATGCTTTGAATCTTGGATTAAGCAATCCAGGTTCAAGCCCTCGCCAGTGTAGGGGTTTCAATAATGTTTTCAGCAGGAGGGCAACTGATTTTTTACATGCGGGCAAAACTTTTGGAACTGAACTTTGTTATAAGAAAAACCTTCCTCTTGATGGTCAAAACAGGCACGCAAGATCATCCTAAGAGTCAGTCAATTTGCCTGACACCTGGCCCTTAATGAAACCACTGGCAGTGTCTTTGTATTTCTGTTCTTGGCCAAGACAGTTTACTCCAGCAAGACTAATATCAAACTATTCATAAACTTTACATATACAGTTAACAATAATTACCTTTTTGTCTTCACCACATTTGTCAGGCCCAAACACAATGGTATAAGGACTCTTATCATGGAAAGATTTCTATAGTAAAACAACAAAATGTTATTACTTATTGGAGGTGTCCATGGAGAATTTTAATATTATGCCTGACCAAGTCACCAAGGTATGGTCATATGCATATACAAAATAGTAATAATCCTTTTTTTAATGTCCCGTAAGTGGACACTTTTAGGTGCCACGAGTGTTTACACATACATGTAGGAGGTTCAAGTGAGTAGTTTCCACTGATACATGTACTTTCAGTCTATCACTGACAGGTGGTTGTTGCTCACAGGGTTACCAAGGAAACTCTGTGCCTGCTCAAATCTCATGTGGTCCCACCACCCTTTACTGGCACCTTGCCATAAACTCATCTTTTTTTGCAATGAGTACAAGAACAATGAGGAATTCTTGAGTGTTAGAGTGAACAAAACTTTACCAGGTCAAGAGAATCTTGATGAGAAAGAAGTTTCACATAAGCACCACCACATTCCATTGCCTGCTGAAATTTCACTTCATACCTAGAAGAAAAATAAAATAATTTGATCATGATGTACAAAATCAAACATGACGATCTAAGATCGTAAGTTGGGCTGTAGCTACGAGTGTTGATCATTTGCGCTGCGCAGTGGTTCTTAAAATATGTGTGATATGTACTGTGTTAATAGATGCAACAATAAAACATAGGCACGCAAGGGGTGCAAGAGTTATTTTTTTGTGAACTATAAGTCTCCGAGATAGGAGCATTCATGGAACTGTTTACAGTAATGATCTGACAAGTTTTTTTGGTTGCGATGTACAGCAAGAAAGAAACTGGGAGTTTATGATGTACATACGA